TATCTAAAAGATGTCTAAAAAATGTTTTTACGATGTCTTTTAAACATTCGTGTTATCTGGGTAGTCTTCGCATGTACCGAATGTACGTCTCCCTAAATGTACGATTGACAAAAAAAGATGAAAAGAGGAAAGAGCCATTATGCAGATGCGTATTGTGTAAATCTGAAAGCTATTCGTTTTACTTATACTCCATAGGGTTCTTTTCATTAAATTTAGTAAATATATATTTGGGCATTGAAAAGAACGAAAAACGTAAGTAGAAAATGTGCAAGTAAAGCAAACAGATATATATAAGCGTGCAATGTGGATATTAATAATGCAATATGTGTTAATTGAACTGAAAATGTACAAATTGTGCTGTCATTGAAGGCAAGAGAATTTTATTCAAAGAAGCAGGAGCCATTAAACCTAAGAAGAAGAAGAAGAAGAAGTAGAAAGATACAATTGGTAGAGGATCTATTTTAACTACGATAGTGCAGCTTCCATCCGCGATAATTTCTCGAAGCCCTGCAACGTCATGGAATGTACCTCCCCAGTCCCCCCACCCAAAACCAAAAACCGTCTGACATAAATAGCGATCGCAACAACGGACCCGTGTCAATTGTTGAAATTCCTGTGCGAGTAGAAATTCCTACACGAGACACGAGGCATTGGATCCTACGCAAGCAGCGGGTAGCACGTAGCACGCGCTGGTCTCTTCGACGAAGCTGTGAAATCGTGATAACCGATTCGTGTAAGCAAGTAGAGAAACCCATCACCGACGTCATGGGTTTGTTCCTCCTGCCGCTGTTGTACAGCCAAATGCATCTGGTCCTGGCCGCACCCGTCAGCTCGCTGGACCGACCGGAAAACTTAACCTCTCGTATAGACCTCATCGATAACGACAACCGGCGCGACATACGGGACTATCCCTGGTGGGCGTACGCCGCGCCGAGACCGTATCATATGCTTATGGCCAGTTACGCGGGCATTGACGACAATGAATTCTACATCGCCCTACATATGCATAGGGAGCAGTACAAACCGGAGGAGATCACCGTCAAGGTGGAGAACCGTTCTGGTCATCGTTGGGTGGTCATCGAGGGCAAGCACGAAACGACGATAGACGACGTCGTTCCCCGGCAGTTTGTCAGACGATTTCTGCTACCCGATAGAGCTGAAGTGGACCTGATGAAGGCCACGTTTTCGAGCGACGGCCGGGTCCTGGATATCACGTTGCCGTTGAAGCCGAAGGATTTGAGTGATGAGACTGATGATAAAGTGTTCAAGATCGAGTAGACTGGAAAGCCGGCCGTTCCTCCTAACAGCTAGAAAGAGGCTGGCGAGTTCGAGAAACGGTCCCGGCCGTCGAGAGGAAGTCGGAGGACAACGAGGTATACGTTCGGGAGGAAGTGACGGCGACGCAGGCACAGGAAGCAGGACCGAAGCCCGAAAAATTATAGACTGAATTACGGAATCTTTTTTTTCCGTTCTATTTGATACGTAATTTTGCACACGTAATTTGGTTGTTTAACACTTTGCACTTACTCCTACAAAACTACGTTCCTCGCTCTGTTGGCTATAACTATAATACATTCCTTATTGTATTGTAGTTACATTGTATAGTATATTATACTTTCTTTAGTGTTAGTGTATATATATTACCGATTATGAGATGCTTAGTGCCATACTAATCCATCCTTGAGAGAAATTTAGTTGTGTGTGTTTTTATATTGATGATAAAATAATTTTCTTTTATTCTAAGTTTTATTGGACTAGTTCAGAAGTGCAGCGAAAACGAACAGGCCTAACGATAACGATTCAGAGAATTCGAATTTCTAAAAAAAGGATCAATAGAAATTGCTTGCTGTATCAAATTTCAATGCAATAGCTTACGGTAAATTAAGGAAAAACGCAATTCAGCGCATCCTGAATGTAGGATAAGGATCAATGATTGGTATTCACAGTCGGTTCTTATATTTAAGACCATCTTAAGTACAATATTAAGGTGTCATGAACCAATCACAGAGCCGTATTAGCATCTTAAGATTCTTAAGACATTATACTTAAGACCGTCTTGAAATAAGAATCGACTATAAATTCCGGCCAATGATCTAATTGCGTAACACTTTTATACTAAATCTTTTGAAAATGTTTGTCGTTTAAAATGCCTGTCTGTTTTATACCTCTGTAATAGGCTTTTAATCAATTTGTAAATAGAAAAGTTGCGAGGAAAACAATTTTTTATCGAAAGAAACGTTTTTGTTCTAAACTAATTCTTAACAAAATTAAATGAAATCAGATACCAAAATTTACAGTTTGTGTTCTAATTTTTATTTATATTAATAGGAATAAATAATTAAAGATTTTAATGCAATATTTTGTCTGGTACTCTTCATGTTCTTGGATAGAAAAAAAAATAAAATCTTTAAAAAAATTCTTTCATAAAAGAAGAGATAATTAGCATGACATCTAAAAAAAACTTTCACCACCAATTTTTTTGTCTTATCAATTAAAGGTTTAAAAATCTATTTTTTTTTCATAATTGTTTCTTTTTCCCATATAATTCTTTTTAACAATCTTATCGACTAAAATGTTTAACTACTCAAAAATATATTTAATTTGACAGAATAATATATTATTCACTATATATTAACGCAACATGCGCGCATATAATAATTAGATCAATAATAATAATAGAAATAATAATAGATACATTATATGCATTGATAATAATAAAAATAAAATCGTCAGCTGTAGGTGTAAAAATACAGGTGTAAAATGAGAAAAACGTTAAAAAGACAAAAGTAGTAAAAAGATGTAATCTCTTTCAGCCTTCAGAAATTTGTTAAAACGTTCGTTAAAATGTTCGTTTAAACGTTTTGTACTTTTATCACTTGCCGTGACAGGTAATCGCGCACTTCCGTAGAAGCAAATATTCTAGAAACATTGAATTGCGCACATACAGCGCACGTATAAGAATAGAATTATTGCCCAGACTTTCGTTTAAAAAAAAATAATAATCTGCAACACACAATTGAACAAAATCTGTTGCCTCATTAATTAACCCAGTTCTTTTATAGCATTGACTTATTTGTTTATATATGTATACGTCCAATGATAATTTCTAGCAAATTATTTAATTTAACTAGAATAGATTCGAAAAGTGAATCCGTTGCATGATCGTATAATATTAAATTCAATCAGTCTCTAATTTGATTGAATAATTAAAGTGAAAAACCTATCGTTCATATCCGCTTTTATTAGAATAAATCAAAATTTTTTATAATATCAAATAATTCATTAACAGTCGCAGTCTTTCGAAATCAAAAGTTTCAGCTTCTTTTAGCATATCCGTTTTACGATTCATGCATTCGAAATAAAACGTCGTAATTTCTCGATCAGACTGGCGCGTGGCGCGGCGTAATTTCTCGATCGATCAGCTGATCGAAGCTTCTCGACCAGACTGATCGAAAATGTCATTTATTTTTGCCTGAGATCCCTTTTAGGTCTCATGTCCCTCAGATCCATATAAAAACGACCCTTTATGATTACTCTACTGTAAAGAATCGAAACCGGTATATTTCCGTTGAATTCAACTACCGGCGTCT